TTTTCTTAATAAAGTTAATAAAACAAATCTAAAATTAAATATTTTACTTAGAAAATATATAGCTAAAATTAATATATTAAAAAAATTAAACTTTTTAATAAAAATGCAAGCAAATTTGCCTGTGTTACAATTTAAGAGATATATTCAACTAAAATTTTTATTTTAGCAAATTTTTGATAATGAAAGAATGCTTTATATTTATCTTTTCAATACTTTTTCTATAATGATAGGTTATATTGTATATATAATAAGAAGTTATATAAAAGAAGTATGTTATAAAATAGTGTTGTAATATATATAGTGATTTTGTGAGAATATTAATTAATTTACTTATATGTATACAATCTTTTTTATTGCTACTAAAGTTTTTTATCTTAGCAGAATTTTGGTAATGAAGTAATGCTTTATACTTATTCTTTTCAACACCTCTTCTATAATAATACAATAGGTTATATAATAAGAAATTATATAAAGAGTTTTATAGAACATTATTGTATACATAGTAGTTCTGCATAAATATTAATTAATTCGTTTATATGTATTAAAGATATATAATTTCTTCTATAGCAATATCCAAGATTATATATTCTACTAAAAGTTCCATTCAGCAGATTTTTGATAATAGAGTAATGCTTTATGTTTATTCTTTTTAACATCTCTTTATAATAATAGGTTATATATATAATAATAAAAAGTGTATTATAAAATATTGTTGTAGTTCTGCAAAAATATTAATTTATTTACATGTAGTTAAAACACAATCTTTTCTATAGTAATATCCAAAATTATACATTCTACTAAAATTTCTCATCTTGGCAAATTTTTTCATAATGAAAGAAAAAATATCTTATATTCATCTTTTTCAATACCTCTTCTATAATAATAGGTTATATAGTATATATAATAAGAGGTTATGCAAGAGAAGTGTGTTATAAAAAGTTGTTGAGATATAGTAATTCTGTAAAAATATTAATTAATTCGCTAATATGTATATACTTTCTTCTATTACTATTAGAATTTTCTATCTCAGCAGATTTTTAATAACAAAGTAACACCTTATGTTTACTTTTTAACACCTCTTCTATGATAATAGCAATATTCAAGATTATATATTCTAATAAAATTTTTTATTTCAGCAAATTTTATAATAAAGTTTTATTTTCATAATAATATTTAACTTGATTTATTGCATTAGTATTTTCCATTTTAGCAGATTTTTAATATTGAATAAATGCTTTGTATTATCTTTTTTAACTTCTGTTTTATATTTATATTAGAGTTCAAAATCACTTTATTCATTTGAATTACTATTTTAAATAAATTTTTCATCTTTAGATTTGTCTATATATTTTTATTATAAAATCTAAAATTTAATTATTTATTCAATTGTTAACCTTAACAGATTTTACATATTACTTAATTGCTCTTTTTTCATTCTTTGCTATACTAATACTATATTTATAGATCACTTTGTCTATTCGAATTACTACATTTAGCAAAATTTAGTGCTTTTTCTTATATCTAAACTATTTAGATAGTTATAAAGATTTAATTATTTATTTTAGTACAGATTTTACATACAGTACTACATCATTTTCTTGAACAAATATAAAATATTCATTTACATCTTAGTATATAAAATCTTTGGATAAATCAGAATTGGATAAAAATAGAATCTATATTATTTTACTAACAATTATTCATTTTACTAAAATTCATTTTATAGATAAAGTAGTTCTGGTTAATATTATTAGAATCAAGCTAAAATTAGAATTAAAGTTAATATAATTTATAAAAAAAAACTTGATGAAATAAGCTTTAGTGAAATAAACTAGAACTTGTTATAAATTATTGTTAATAAAATATGATATCTATTAAGTAGAAGAAGTATATTAAAAATTATTTTCAAAGTTTTGATAGACAACTTAACCAAATTTGAACTTTTTTTTTTAAATTTTGATGATCTCTAAAATTAAAACAATAAAAAGTTTATTAATTTGGCTGTGTCAAGATCTTTGATTAAAGTTTTGTAAAAAAAATTTGATTATTTATTAAATAGAAATACATTAAATATTATATCAAAGGTATTTTGATACTCTTATTTAAATTTAGCTAATTTTACAATAAAAAAAAAAAAGTTTATAAAATTTGGCTAGATTAGTGTCTTGATTAATATCTATAAAATAGAAATATGATATCTAACCAAATTCAATATGCTTTTTTATTCGAATTTTGCTGATTTCTAAATTATAAAGATATGTATAAACAATTGATCGATAATGATCTAAGTATAATTAGTTAATTCAATAGTTCAACAAACTTATTTAGGTTGCTTAGTCTGAGTTTGGTTTGGGTCCAGTCATAGTAATAATATTTAGCAGTGTGTTAAATAATTATCATGTCTATATAAAAGTTATAATTCTGGGCAACCTCTATATGTGGAGTTGAGTTAATAGAAATTAAGCAAATACAGTATTTTTTAATAAGTTTTTTTAAAACTTTAACTTAACAAAAACTTGATCAAATTTAATAAATTTTTTTTAAACTAACTCTACAAGTTTATAAAAATTTTTATTAAATTTGGTTATGTTTTTGTTAAGTTATTCTTGCTTAAAGTTATAAAAAATTTTTATTATAAAAAATTTGCTTAATTTTTATTAACTCATCTTTATATATTTTAACTATATAAATCTATTCTAGTAAATTTAAATTACAAATACAATAAATTAGTTAATATTTATTTTTTACAATATATATATATTGTATATATATATATAGTACTTGTTATTGTATAAATTTTAAAATTAGCCAAAAAAAAATAATAAATTCTTAAAATTGTTATATATATACTATGTATAAAACTACTATATATATATATATATATATATATACAGTAGTACTATATACAGTATATATATATATATATATATTGTACTAGAGTATTAAAACAAAATCGATTTATTAGCGTTAGTTAAATTGGCTGGTTTTATTAGACCATGAACTAGTCGGAACAAGTCAACACAAGCTCTAAATTTTAAATATAGTATAAGCAGCTATATATTAAATATATATATATATATATATATATATATATATATATATTTAATAGTGTATTTATATTACTAATACAAAGTCTTATTTTTAACGTTAGTCATCAAGTATTGGGAGAATTATAACTTCACCAAAATTAATGTGATAAGAATTTTATTGATGTGAAATAATCGAGTCTGATGCAAGCACGCAATGCATACTTAATTACTAATTTGGCCACAGATGACCACAAATGATACCAAGTATAGCTGTTCGTGAGTGTGAAACGGAGTACACCATAAAAAAAAACTCTTAACTGTTAGTATCTGGAATTAGCCAGTAAACCTTAATCACTTTTTGCCATCACAGACGCTAGGTGTACTATAACGAAAAATTTTATAACCAATATGACAAAAGAAAAAAAGTCAAAGTCAGCAAAGGCCAAAAAAAGTCACAAGAACAAGCATAAGCTTTCGTACAAGGAACCTTTCATTGATGGTAAATATTTTTTTCTCTTTTTTTAGAAGATTTAATTAAAATTACGCTGCGGCTTCAGATTTTAAAATCTTTCGCAATTTTTCGTTCAAATCTTGCTTTTTTTCGTAAATTGGTCGTAACCTTATAAATTATATTTATTACAATTTCAATAAGATTATTAATCAACGAAATATGACAAGCTAACAACTATTAATATATTTATTTCATATTTTAAAGAGGTTCCTACACGGATTAGGCTTTCGTTCAAAAAGAACGCCGATACAGGCAAAAGTAAGTCAAAATCAAAGCGTTCTGAAGTTTCTGAAGATGCTCCTAGAGGAAATGAATTTGACGTAGAGATGCGGGATGCAGTGGTGGATAATTATGATTATGAAGAAGATGATGTAATAGATATTAATGATTCCACTCTGAATATTGAAGCCGGGGAAACCGGCAATACGAAAATAAACACGCCCAAATCTTCAACGACGGCTAACTCAAACAAGATGGTTCTAAAGCTGAAATTCAACTTAGAATCACCTCCAACCACGAAAAAGCATAAACACAAACATAAACATCATAGGGAACAAACTGAAAGTTCTTCACATTCACATAAAAAAGTTACCGGTAAACGTACGACGCGTGATTCTTCAGATGACGAGTCCGATAAAAATGGCGATCTATTCAAAGAATACGATAGCAAATCATCTCATGAACGAAAAAAAGCGAAACGCCATCATGTTGATATTAATGAGAAAGTTGAGATTAACGGGGAAAATAGAAGCATAGAAACGTGTGGCGATAGTGTTAAACGACATGTGATCGATAAAACCAAGAAAACGGAGAAAAGGTTGACGAGTAAATCCAACATGAATAAGTCATACACTGGTAATACCGATAAGGGCTTAATCGGCGATTCTGTTGGGAAACGTTCGACAGATGTTGATTATATGTCGATTCGTGACAAGAAAGGAAAGACTTCTTTAAAAGGTGTTGTTAAAAAGGTCAAAGTTGAAAAGAGTCAAACATTAAATGATGTTAAAAACAAGGAAATTTTACATCATGATAATAATGGTGGGAATTCAGTCAATTATGAGGGTGAGAATCTTGTAAAAAGTGAAATAGACGAGAAGTATACTTTAGACGATGATATTATAAAAGGAATCAATCATGATTCGAAAGAATTATTGATGTCTGAACTTGCAATCAACACATCCACATATTCGCTTCGTGAAAAACGGTCATACCCACCAGTTACAGAAGATACAAAAACAAAGATCGATGAACGTAGTTCATCAAAATCAGTTAAAAATACGAAGGCATTTTGTCAATCCAAAGACGAAACTTCCGCAGAAATTACTTCTAACACAATAGATGTAACTTCATCTATTTCAAACGAATCCCAACCATCAATACCACCTTCACAAGAAACAACGAAAGCGATTACATCAGGTCTAAATGAAACCTCGGGCGGAATTACCATTTCTGATCTTGCCACAAAAGAAGATACGACTATGTCAAAATCTGTTGGCAAAAAAGGGCCAGCACGCAAACTTGGAAGACCTCCAAAATTACAAGAACCACAACGTAAAGCAACGCCACGAACCTGGACCTGGCAAAAAAAGAAAAAGGATCTGAAAACAATTTTAACAAAATTGCTGGATTCTTTTACTAAGTAAATTGATTAATTGATTTTATGGTTATATAGTTAACAATATTAAAAGTATAGTTACAAAATTTAAATCCTTTAATAGGAAAGATGCGTACGGTTTCTTTTTAGAACCGGTTGATACCACTATCGTAACCGATTACCTCACAATCATCCAAAAGCCTATGGATTTTGGAACGATGAGAAAAAAAATTGAAAGGAATGAATATTCTTCCATTGACGAATTCAAGGCATGTTTAATCAATCATGAATGCAACATATCATTTAAATGGTAACATTTATTAACTTTAATTTATTCTTATTTCTTCGCCGTAATAGGAAGATTTTGCTCTTGTATGTAATAATTGTAAGACGTATAATGCACCAGAAACACTTTATTATAAAAGTGCGGACAAACTATGGCAATTTGGCGATAAAGCAATAGAACGTGAAAGAGATAGTATTCTTTTGGAAGAGGAGAGAATGAAGGCGTTGGGAGTTGAGAGCGGAAAAAGGGTAAATAAATCTTTCGTTGTTTATACGAATTTTCTAAACTGCATTATGAATAAAAGAATTTTTAAATTAGGCTACAAATGTTGCGCAAGGTGTCGCGTCTAGTAGAGGTATATATAAAATTTTGTTTTTTATTACATTGTACCTGCGATTTAAGGTAACTTAATAATTGACTCTGATTCAATAAATTTTCCTTAAGCAACATCTATTTCAAAGCCGGGGAGACAAGTTCGAAAACAAAGAAGAGGAGAAGCACGTAAACAATATGCTCCCGATGGTTCGCTCATACATAGTAATATTCCATTTATTTGATTTCCATAATTTTTCTTTTGCTGGAAGTTTATAACCAAAGATATTAATATTTTATAATATTCGTTTAAAATAGATGATCCGTTTACTCTAATTCCACAACAACCACCCTTTGGCGAAACACCGCTCCTTACAGTTATATCATCTAAAACTCAACGTCAAGGTATTAATTTTTTTTCGTAATCATTGCTTATTAAACGTAATTAATGAATCTGTAATAAATAAATATAGCTCGCTTTGAAGATTATGGTCCATTTGCGACATTGGGGGTTGATCCACCTTTTTTCACGCCAGCAGATAAAGACTATATTTACAATATATTTGGAGATGAAAAGGGATATGCATACGCTAAAAGTCTTAAAGCATTTGTGGCGGATATGGGCGAAGACATGAATGTGCACGTGGATAAGATCATAGACAATTTAACTTTTGGTGTTCATAGCCTTGATCGACAAGTATCACATATATTGTCTAATTTAGATTCTAACAGACCTATTGATACCTCGGTTATTATTCAAACCGAGCTTGGACCTGTAAATGTGAGTGAAGAAATTGAACGAAATAAGCAGCTTTCAGCGATAAAGAGTAGGAGATAGATATTCTACCTGGATATTGGTAGAAGAAGATCTTGAAGGTCGGGTGATTCTGACAAAGCATACAACAGCCAACTTATGAACCGAGGGGGGTATTAGAGATGGTACAAAATCTTTAGCAAGTTAAGGATCCCAAGGGAGGTGAACAGTTGTTATGGCAGGTCACATTGGGTTTAACCTGGTGAGTCTTTATTAGGTTAGAACAATAAGCTATAAGAGTTTTAATACATGAGTGTATATAAATCATATAGTAGTTCACATGAATAAAGGCAGAATCGCTTAAAAAAAAAAAAAAA